ATCACTATGCTTTAATTATGTTCAATTTGTAACAATGAAATTGGGGGTCACCACAACATGAGGAACTGTATTAAAGGGTCGCAGCATTAGGAAGGTTGAGAACCACTGGGGTAGAGCATCAGCCTACAGACTGAAGAGTCATGGGTTTGATTCTGGTCAAGGGCACATACCTCAGTTGCAGGCTGGATCCCTGGCCTGGTGAGGATGTGAAGAGGTGTCATAAGCCTGTACAACAATAAAAATCTTCAAGGAAAGAATCTAGAAATCCTTTCTTTTTTAATTCTCACCTGAGGATATTCTTTTTCCCTTGCTTTTCAGAGAAAGTAAAAGGGAGGAAGGAAGGGGGAGAAAAAGAGAGAAACATCGATGTAAGAGAGACATATCGGTTGGTTGCCTCCCACATGCACCCAGACCAAAGGGATGGAACCTGCGACCTTTTGGTGTTTGGCTGACCTCTAACCATTGAGCACACCGGCCTAGGACTAGACATCCATTTTTAACAGGTGCCCTAAATGGTTTATACCAGTGGTCGGCAAACTCATTAGTCAACAGAGCCAAATATCAACAGTACAACGATTGAAATTTCTTTTGAGAGCCAAATTTTTTAAACTTAAACTATATAGGTAGGTACATTGTTATTAACTTAATTAGGGTACTCCTAAGGCTTAGGAAGAGCCACACTCAAGGGGCCAAAGAGCCGCATGTGGCTCGTGAGCCACAGTTTGCCAACCAGGGGTTATACAAACAGATAGGTTTGGAAAACACTGGCATCTAGAGGATATGTGGACAGCAGAGTAATATAGGGGTAGTTTGTCAAGATTATGAGGAATGACAAGGTGTTAAAAAAAAGAGAGAGCGAGAAGATGGCTGGCTGAGTGTATCTTAACAACATCAGATTTGTAAAATAGGTCTAGATTTGCCAAATCTAGAATAAGCTGTGATTCTCCTTTGTTTTCTGGGATGTTACTTTTTAGCATATTTTAAGTGTAGATGTTATCCCTTCATGTCCTCATTCTCATCTGTCCCTTCAGAGTGTATTACTTAACTCCCCTTTTCTACATGAATGTGTTCCTGCAAACAAGTCAGCCTGAGTTCTTATTTCTTCAGCTTTGGTGTTAAGCAGCTTTGGTAAAATATGCCCGAATGTCTTGTAAATGACTGATCAGGTAAGCAATTGTAATCTGTTTAGCAACTCTGATCCTAATCCCCTCGTGAGTGTCTATCTTCCATTGGTACTGGGATTATAATCAGTTAATGACCATCAAGCATTTTATAAAAAGTCTTTGTTAACTAGTTTGTGCTGAAGGTCTCCCCATGTAAGGCTCATATTGTTTCTTACAGAAACATTTTTCAAATATCACTTAGTATCTCTGTGCTTTAGCATTCATCTTAAATGTTTATCTTATTCTCTTTCACAGCATTACACTATTGTTTTAGTGACTCTGAGTCTGACAATAGCATTAGTGACTAGCTTCTTCCCTTTCTTTTGCCTGACATATCAAAGGATAGCTGACATATATTTTGATCTTTTCATTTGTAAAATGAGTTCAATAATATCTAACCTAGAAGACTTGGGATTGGATAACAAGAGATAATATTTTCAAAATTGCCCAGCAGAGTGCCTATGACTCATTGAGTACATAATAGGTATTCAGTGAATCATAGGTATTATTTCATTATTATTTACATCACTAAAGGCCTGGTGCATGAAATTTGTGCACGGGTAGGATCCCTAGGCCTGGCTGGTGATCAGGACCCATCTGTGGGGCAACTGGCGGGGCGATTGGAGGGCCCCCACTGGCACCTGCCTTGGCTGACCTGGCACCACCCACTGTTGGCCCCACCTCCGCCATCACTGGTCAGGGGATGGGGGCAGCTCCTGTGTTGAGCATCTGTCCCCTGGTGGTCAGTGCACATCATAGTGACCAGTCATTCTGCTGTTCGGTCAATTTGCATATTACCCTTTTGTTATATAGGATAACATTTTTTTCATTACAAAAATATTTTGTTTTAAAAAAATATTTGATTAATGACAGAGAGAGAGAGGGAGAGAGGAACACCCATTTATTGTTCTTATTCATGTGTTCATTGGTTGATTCTTGTACATGCCCTGACCATGGAACCTGCAACCTTGGGGTATCGGGATGATGCTCTAACCAACTGAGCTACCTGGCCAGGGCACAAAAAGTATTTTTAAAAGCAAAGTTAATCCAGTTCTTAGAAATGTAAGCTCCTAAAAGAAAGGTATATTATATGTTTTGGAACAGAGCCTAGTATTCTCTATAACTATTTACTGAAATTAATGGTGAGTCAGGAACAGCAATTATGCAAGTTGGTACACCTAGGGCCTGTTTGTCTCAGATTTATAAGTGGTTGTGCTTCTGTGAGACATTTCATCTGCCAGATGTAATGAGTCAGGACAATTAAACACTATAGAAACATTGTACTGTTGTGTTAGGACATTGCATCCCGGTTTTTGTTTTATTTTTAGCACTTCCCAAGATCATTTGATAGGTTACCTAAGGGAAATGCTTCCTGTACATTATTTTAATTGACTTCTGGTTTTATTTCTTCATCACTGTTATTATTTGTATCATTATATTTATGCTCTTCTTGTTAATGTGAAGTTCTATGAGTTCCTCTGTTACAAGGAAATATAGGAAGACAGGACATCTAAGTTCTGGTCTCTACCACAGTTGCTGGGACTTTTATTCTTAACAGGATGAATTATTATGAAATATTTTGAAATCCCTAGGTAGTACATTCAGACCTGACATTTTAATGGTAAAATTTAGAAATTTTTTTGAGATCAAGTGCTTTGAGATCTTGTGGCAGAATTCTCTTTATCTCTCTTGCATGTTAGCTCTTTAGAGATTTTGAAGATTGGTTTGCTTCTATTGTTTGCTTAATGGATTTCCACGAAGCTACAGTTCTTTCCACAATATCCATAAATGAGTGAGATCATGTGGTATTTTTCTTTCATTGACTGGCTTATTTCACTTAGCATAATGCTCTCCAGTTTTTACTAACTTTATTATCAGGAATTTTATTTGCTCCAGTGCCTTCACCTCCTTCCTACATTTTTTTTAGATTTGGCTTTCTTTAGCTATCAGCCTTTTTCTCTGTTGATTTTAACCAAAGATATTCCCAGCTAAGACTCGTGTCTACCTGCTTGTGACTCTGGCATGCCTTCTCTTTACCAGGGCATTTTCCTCTTGGTTTTTCTGTTCTGCTTTAGGTCCAGAGGCTGTTGTCCATTCTCTGTATATGTTCCTGGATTTCCCTTTTTGTTTGTACTCCAACTATAATCATTTATGCTTTCTTTGGGCCTTCCCCACAGGTGACAGTTCCTTCTTTCTCCGCGCCTGGCTTATGACACCACTTCACATTCATGAGACTCCAGCTGAATATCGCTATAACGTGGCCCATTCAGCAACTCACAGTGTGATTGAGAAGACTTTCCGAACACTCTGCTCCCGATTCCGCTGCCTGGATGGGTCCAAGGGGGCACTCCAGTACTCACCAGAGAAGTCCAGCCACATCATCTTAGCGTGTTGTGTCCTCCACAACATCTCCTTGGAGCATGGGATGGATATTTGGTCCTCTCCAATGACAGGACCCATGGAACAACCCCCCGAGGAAGAGTATGAGCACATGGAGTCCCTGGACCTAGAGGCTGACCGGATCCGTCAAGAGCTGATATTCACTCATTTTAGCTAATGTGAAAGGTGGGGAGGAGGAGGGAAACTTTCCAGAAGGAACTGTGACAAACTTTCTCCCTCACCAGCCACTACACAGTTCCATCATCTAGCATGACTGAGTGTGGACACTTGTCACAAACTGACATTTAATCTGCATGTTTTTTAGAAGAGTTGGGGCTATACCAGAATATTTTGATTCATTTGTATTTCTATTGATATTAACTAAACAAAAAATCAGGACAACACTTCCGTAGTATGCATTGAACTCCAGGTTGAGCCTCAGTTATTTGAAAAGCTCACTGGTTGCGGACATTTATGATTGTGCCTACAACATCAAAGCAAAGGAGAAAATGGCATCTAGCCAGAACACTTTTTTTTTTCTTTTTTTTTTAAATATATTTTATTGATGTTTTACAGAGAGGAAGGGAGAGAGATAGTTAGAAACATCGATGAGAGAGAAGCATCGATCAGCTGCCTCCGGCACATCTCCCACTGGGGATATGCCCGCACCCAAGGCACATGCCCCTGACCGGAATCGACCCTGGGACCCTTCAGTCCGCAGACCGACGCTCCATCCACTGAGCCAAACCGGCTTTGGCCAGAACACTTTCTTTTTATTTCCATTATCTGGAGATTTCAAATGAAAATAATACTTATTTGTCCTGAATTATTTGAGTGGCATTTTAGCTTTTCTACTTTGCTGCCTAGATAGGCATAATTTGAGGCAAGTGGCTGGTGTTGCTCAGTGGTTGAGCATCAATCCACAAACTAGGAAGTTACAGTTACAGGGCATATGCCCAGGTTGTGGGCTCTAGTCCCAGTAGAGAGTGTGCAGGAGGCAGCCAATCAATGATTCTCTCTTATCATTGATGTTTCTATCTCTCCCACTCCCTCTCTCTCTAAAATCAATAAAAACATTTTTTAAAAGTAATTTTAAGTTTGAGAATGGTCTTGGGACAGGTAAATGTCTGCTAATCTGCGTTTGCAACCTTGTATATTTAAGAAGATGTTAGGAAAGGAGAAAAACAAAAACAAACAGCCCAGCTGGCATGGCTCAGTGGTTGAGCGTTGACCTGTGAACCAGGAGATCACGGTTTGTGGTTCTCTCTCATCATTGATGTTTCTATCTCTCCCTCTTCCTCTCAGAAATCAATAAACATATTTAAAAACAAACAAATATAAAAAGAAGTTAGGGACAGTCTGAAACCTCTATCTTTAGTCTTCCTGCAATAATTGGCCTGTTACTTGGACCTAGGTCCTAGGGAGAACATCTGGACTCCAATCTCCTTTTTCCAACCCTGAGTAGGACTTAGAGGCTAAATGGGTTTAAGAACCTAATTAGCTTAAGGAAGACAAGTCAAATATAGGTAAAATAGTAAGCTTTCACTTTACAGGAGAACTGAACACCCTGATAAATTGATGGACAGCCCTAGCCAGTTTGCTCAGTGGATAGAGCCTTGGCCTGCAGAACAAAAGGTCCCAGGTTCGATTTCAGTCAAGGGTATGAACCTTGGTTGCAGGCTCCTCCCCAGCCCTGGCCATGGTCAAAGCTCATGCAGGAGGCAACCAAGGAATGTCTCTCTCTCCCCTCTCCCTAAAAATCAATGAAAAAATATCAGGTGAGGATTAACAAAAAAGGAAACATAAATACATAAACTGATGAACAGAGGAGAATCACCCAGGTTCACAGATCAATCACATTTCTTATGATTGTGATATTAGAATGTCTATTTGACCAGCTTTGAAATTCCTTGTACCAAAGGAAGATTTAAGGAAGGCATATGAAAGTATTAAAAAGGAGAAGTAAAAAGAATATAATTTCTTAATTTGAAATTACTAGTAATTTTGAAGTTAGACCTATTTGAATATCGTATGTACAAAGTGATGGGCAGAAATTATACTGATATAAAAAAAATACTGATTGGAATAGTGAAAATGTAAATTAAGTTCACACATTGTGGCTTCACTACAACAAAAAAGGAGACTCTCCTGAGGATTATCTCATTCCCAGTTTTTCCTCCACTCACTGTGTGATGCCTCTGATTTGTCTTCTTGGATAATTTCCTACCTGCCTTTGGCAGTGTTAATCTGGTGATATTCAAAGTAAAGAAATGAACAGCTGATGACAGAGAAATTTGGAAATAAATTGAGGGTGACTCATCCTCAAGATTAAAAACAATTATGGTTTATTATCTGCTGTTTATTTCTACTCCAAATTTTATTTTCCATCATCATCCTACTCTATAAAGAGTAAAAGAGTAGGTTCAAAAAAAAAAAGTAGATGCATTTGGCAGAAGGGTGAGCTTAATATGTACAATGAAGTCTTTGAGATGGGAGTGGACAACAAAGAGGTGACTGTAAACTTCAGCTCTACTTATTGTGCAATAGAGGTGCCCTATTATATTTTTTTCTTTGTAAAGTTTAACCTGTGAACCACGCTTGCTTTGTCTTCTTCATAAGGCAATATTTTAATGTTCATAGTCTTTCCAAGTTTCCTGAGATGGACATATTTCCCTATAAAATTTTGGTTCTATTATAGGTATTGCCCGAGGAAAGGGTTATTGCCACCCGTGTATCATAAGTGGCAAGGTGGAGTGTGTCTTGGAAAGGGCCTAGCATTTTAGCTTTAAAAAACGGCATTAAAGAAAAATTGGAGTTTTCACAACTCACTAGATGGTGACATGAAGTCTGAGTGGGAAAGACAGTTTTGGAGAGATTTCAAAAGCAATTTCAAGTCTGACTTACATACCAAAGATCATTTCTAAGTGCTGAACTGACTGAACATTGGCTGTCAGTGTTTTTCCCTGGGAGCATTTTATTTCCCAATAATTCTACAGAGTAACTGTTCAAATATATTCCTTTAATCTCCTTTCAACCTGGATTTTTACAAGCCAGGATTTTTTTTTTTCAGTTCATAGTTAAATTTCCCTCAAAATGATCTAGGGAAGGGATCAGGGTCTGTACTTCCAAATTGCCAAGAGTTTGCTCATAGTGGCTTTTTATAAGTGCCTGAGAGGTCTCCTCTAGAGTC